ACTTTGCTGCGTTCAGCTTCAACCCATACTCTCTGAGAGTGGAGAAGGTATCCGCCAAGTCTGTAAGATGATCATCACTCCGTTTGCTTTTTACCAGCATGTCGTCTATGTAGACCTCCATGGTGTTGCCGATCTGCTTCTTGAACATCCGATTCATCAATCTTTGGTATGTTGCCCCGGCGTTCTTCAATCCAAATGGCATCACTTTATAACAATAAACTCCCTTCGGAGTGATAAACGCCGTTTTCTCTTGGTCCGGGGCATAAAGAGGGATCTGATGATATCCTGCTCGGGCATCCAGGAAGTCCATTCGTTCATATCCGGCTGTGGCATCTACCAGCTGGTCCACCTTCGGCAGGGGGTAGTCGTCCTTGGGACATGCCTTGTTTAGATCTGTGAAACCACGCAGACACGCCATTCCCCCCTTTCCTTTTTAGCACATACTGTATGGACAGCCATTCTGGGAACTGTATCTCGAATGGCGTCGGCTCTTAGGAGTTTGTCTATTTCCTCATTGACGCGTTGGTGTGATGCGGGGCCATACGTCGTGGCCTCTGCTTTACTGGCTTGTGAGATGGGTCAAACATGCAGCCTGTGAGTAATTATCTCGGGGTCTACTCCCGTCATTTCCATTTCGTTCCAGGCGAACACGTCTGTATTCCCTCTTAAGAACCTGATCATCTCCTCCTGTTCGGCTGCGCGGCATCGAGGTCCCAACTAGGAAATACTTCTCTTCTTCTCCTTCAACCAAGGGCACCTTCCGGAGGTCTTCAACCGATCGTTCAGCTGGGTCCACCCGGGGGTCATCCATCCCCGGACGCCCGGACTGTAATTGCTATTTTTCTATGACCTCTTCCGGTGCTCGCCCCTTCTCCTGGCTGGACGCCCCGGCTCGGACGGCCGAATAAAAACAGTTTTTCGCAGACGCTTGATCCCCCCGAATCTCCATGACGCCCTCTGGCGTGGCGAACTTCAACTTCTGGTGGAGAGTGGAGTGTACCGCTCCCAACGCGTGTAGCCATGTTCGCCCCATAATCACGTTGTAAGGGGAGTCCGTGTCGATCACCACAAACTCTGTGTCGATGACGAAGGGACCAGTGGCGACCGGTAATGTAATTTTCCCCACGGGCAAGGCGAAAGAGCCGTTGAACCCGATGAGGGGTGTCCTGATTTTGGTTAAGTCTTTGGGGCCAAAGCCCATCCGCTTCAAAGTCTCGAAGTACATCACCTCCGAGGAACTCCCTGAATCTATCAAGATTCTCTTGACATCGAATTTCCCTATCTTTAGGGTTAAGACAAGGGCGTCGTTATGAGGAATCACCACGCCCGTCAAATCCGCGTCAGAGAACGTAATGCCAAGTTCACCCATCCTGGCCCTTTTACTTGATGGCCCCACACCTCCTTCGGCTACCTTTCTGGTAAAAGCTACCCTCTTGAGGTCGGATTCGAGCTCTTTGGACGTGGGGCGCTCCAGTGGACACACATGGATGACGTCTATGACGTTGTTGGGTTCCTCGGTCGGGGCAGGGGCTCGTTTTTCTTCTGGCCTAGGCTCTATGTATTCTTTCAGGTATCCATCTCGGACTAAGCTCTCCAAGAATGACTTGAACACCCTGCAGCTCTCGGTGCGATGCCCGACATCCCGGTGATATGAACACCTTACTGTTTGATCACGGGTGGAGGGGTCGCTTTGCATCCTGGGCGGCCATTTGAAGAACGGCTCGCGTTTGATTTATGGAGCAACCTGAAGATGGGTTCCTTGAAGACGGTGTGAACTCCTCTGGACGAACCCCCTGGACGGGGTAGCAATCCCTTCCGGGGAATATCTTCGTGCTCTTTTTCCCTTCTCTTGGGTTGGAGGGCTCGGCCTTTGTTGCTCCCCATCTCGTCCTCGACCCTTGAGTACTTGTTGATCCGGGCCATCAGTTCCCCCATATCCGAGGGAGTCTTTTTGGTCAGGGATCGGTACAAGTCCGTGTCCCTCGCCAAGCCGAGCCGGAATGATGCTGCTGCCATGACCTCTGAGCATCCCTCGACCTCATTGACTTCTTCCCAGTATCGGATGGCGTACTGGCGAAGAGTCTCGGATTCCCTCCTCCTGAGGGTCAGCAGTGATCCAATGTCCTTGGGGCGCTTACTCCCCGTGATGAATCGGGTTAGGAACTGCCTCGTCAATTCTTTCCAGGACCCAATACTGTTTGGGGAAGCGTCTCGAACCACCTCATCGCAGAGTCCCCCAAGCTCATAGGGAACACCCGGCATAGAAACCGTTGGTCCGAATGATAGAGGGACATCATCTGCTTATATTGTCTAATATGGGCATCGGGATCAGATCGCCCATCATAGGTCTTGAACCGTGGCACGACGAACTTTCTTGAGACATCCATCTCACTGATTTCCCTCGTGAAGGGTGTTTGCATGACTTCGTCCTCGGCCTCGTCCTGGATCGTCTTACCCTTTCTTCTGGAGTCCAATCGGGCTCTGAGATCTACTTCTTCCCTTACGGGATGCCTCCTGAAGTCTCTGGGTTCGTCGGTAAGCCCCTCGTTTCCTGGGCGTCGTGTAGATTGGGTTGAGTCCTCGGATTCAACTCCCTTCCTCCGTCTGGATAAACCTCGCCGGAGGTCGTCCAGGGCCAAGGGCCTTGCTTTCCTGGAATGGTTGTCAAGATGGCATTCGCCGGCTTTGGGTCGCTTCGGGGCCCTGGAGCTTTCTGCTTTGTGATCCAGGTGGTTCCTTAGATCCTTCGTCTCCGCCTCATGGACGGGGAGTCCTCGGGAGAGGAATGAATCCCTCGACCCTCCGCCTGAGGCAGCAAACTCGTCGAGCCGGCTAAGGACGTTTACATTGTCCTTCTCCAGCTGACGTAATCTATCGCCAAATTTCTCTTCTATCACCTCTGCCAGCTGACGGGCCAAGGGGGCTGTTCCTCCTGACCTGATCCCCATACTGGTTTGGGGGGTTACCCCCCTTGACCGAGTAGAGACACTTTTAATCGTACTGGTCCGATCCCTCCCCCCGTGATGGCAGGGAGCTTGCAACTCATGACTCCTTTGGTAGGGTCCCTTCCCTTTCTGTCTAGTGTTCACCATGGTCACTGTTCTTTATAGAGAAAAGATTAGGAAAACTACTCGTTTCCCACAGACGGCGCCAGATTGTGCGGGCTCGATCCTGCACGATATATAAAATATTGGGAACAGATCTCTCCCCTGGTGAACTTTGGGTGAGCCGGTTGAGTAGCCAAACACGCTGCTTGAAACAGCCTACAAGGTACGGTGGCAACCGAAAACGGCAAAGGGAGATCCTGGGAAAGGAGGAACGATCCTGTACGTGTGAAAGGTATTTCCTGGAACAAAGGAGAACAAGTTAGAAGGGCGCCGGAGTGTTTTCTGGCGTATCCCCTCCGACGGTCTAGTCAGTCTTTGAATGAGAGAGAGGAAGGAGAAAACACTGAGAAGGATATTTCGTAGGATGAGAGTTTGAGATTGCATACCCGCTTTGTCTTTTGGGAGGGGTATTTATACCTTAGAAGATCATGATTGCTGTCAGTGTGGTCAGTAGGTGATCATCAGGCACAGGTAGCGTGTGTAATCATTTGATGAGGAATGTCTTCTCTAATTGATTGCTCGGGGTACCGAGCAATCAATGGTGAGTTGTCGGGACGCCGACGGTACAATATGCTCCTTTCGGGAAGGATGCAATAAATGCTCTGTAATAGGAGCATTTATTGCCTTTCATATCCGAACCTTACCGCATTAAATGCGGTCTCGTCAACAGAAGGGTGCAATTAATTGTTTGCTTTCCCAAGTCGCGTGCCAGCAGCGGCATGCGGTTTGTCTGCTTCGGATGTGACATTATTTGCCACGCGTCCATCCCTTATTGGCTGTTACGTCGGTATTCCAGCACGTTCTGACATTACTTGTGTAAGAAGAGGTCATGATGAATAATCCATACTGGCATAGGCTGATGTCCAGTATGTCAGTAGCTTTATCCGGGAGTAGAGGAAGCGTCCAGGATGGAGTGACCCTCGGCACCGAGAAAAGGCTTACCTCGGGGACCGAGGGTGGTATGTTTCCGAGGGTATACGTGACCGAGGACACGTGTTTGTTGTATAATACAACGGATGTGTGATCCTATATGAGAGGGCACCTCGGGGTAGAGGACGTTCTTCGCCGATGGTGCTTACATCCGGGCAACACTGTTCCAAAAACCCCGAGGACACGTGTCTTCATCTCAGGGCTTTTCAGAAGAGTCCCATCACGAAGGAACACTGAAGTAATTTTATTGGTTTTTGGGTGTTTTGATGGATTAAAGTCATATATGTGATGTAAATTGGTTTTTTCTCTTTGATTCTGGTAATTTTTTGATTCATTCAATAAAATTCCTCTTTCATTAAAAAAAAATGTATCTATAGCTATGATGTATGTAAAGTGTGGTGTCTTGAAATATTCGCCTAAGTTATTTGTTATGTGGTTAATGAATTATGAGTTTTGATTTGTATTTTATAGTAGGAAATATTATAAAACTAATTATTATAATATAACTTGAAGTAGTTATCAAATATATTTTTTGTTTTTATTCTCATAATTTGATAAATACAAATGACTCACAAACATGTTTTTGTTTCAGTGTTTAACATAAAACAGAGACAAAAAATTGTCTCTATTTTTTATTTTTTTAAAGACGTGAAAGCAACAACGTTACCAAATGAATTGAATGAAAATATTACACTGACAAACAAGCCACAAGTTGGCTTTCACAAACAAACAAGCCTCAAGATATTACACTGAGTCACTTGCACACACCAGAGAAGCTCCAAGCTTGATTAATATGAAAGTTTCCATGAAAGGAGGTGAAGAAGCTTCTTTATTACACCATAACTTATGAGCTCCGAAGACTGGAAATGGAGATAAATATCTTAGAGAAAAGAGGAGAGAAAACTGGAGCAGGAAAGGAGGAGAAAGAAGAAGTTTGAATACTTCAAAACCCTCATCCATTCCTTAAGAGCTCCAAAAGCTTCTCAAGCACTGCTCCTCTTTCCCAGAGTCCCATAGGTCCTGGGTTTTGCAGGAATGCCCTTCGTCGCCTTCACTCCCGGTGGGTTGTCTTTGATCTGTTTTATGGTGGAAAAAAAATGAGCAAGTTAAACTAAACGCCATCTTTTGGACAATAATATAATTACCCTATATACTTGGGGAAAAGTAAAATTGACATTGTTGACAATTTTGGGTTAATTTGTAATTATATAGGCTTAAATTAAGACAAAATCAATCCTGAAGTTTTAACTCATCACAGTGAATTGTAATTTTATCACTTATTTTTTAGTAACTTCAATAAATACTACATTGGAAAAAGAATTCTCCGTCACCATAAACATACCCAGCTAAAAAGGGAAACGATATTATGCCTACAAAGTAAAGCTAATAACTCAATGGGTAGCTCAAGTGATGAGTTATAAACATTGAGTTTGAATTTTAATAATTTCTTTGAATCAAGAAAAATTTATTTTTCATAAATATTTTAATTTTGAAGTGATTGAAAGAATTAATTCCAAGTATATGTAAACTCCCCGAACACCTTGGCTATCGAGACTAACAGGTTATGTCCAAAGAAAATTATTGAGTCCCACCCACCGATTCAACCAACCATGGTACCAATTAATTCTTTGTAATTTTTTGCAATACACAATTACAAAATATGGATAAGGAGGATTACCATCATGCAACTCCCATCACGCATTCATATGCTTTGCAGAGTTTAGGGCAGGGCCGGCCTTCTGCGTTAAAAATAAAAGCGGGGCTGTAGGCTCCACGTACGAAAAAGGCCATAAATTTAAAAATTAATAATATAATATAAGTTAAAAAATAAAATTTACTACAATATTACTTAAAAAATTAATTTTTGAAAGAATAAACCAACAGAAAAATTAAAAATTTAGGCCTAAAAGTTTACACCTTATCACACAATCACATTTATTAAAGGACAAAAAAAATTAATAAAAAAAATGATGGCAAAATCTATTTCTTCTTCAATTAAAAAAAATGTAATAAACATCTCTCTTTAGTCAAAAAAAAAAAAAAAATTAAAACAAACACATTTTTTGCTTCTCTTAAACTTGTTTTTTTTTTCTTATTTAAACGTAAAACACCAATTAAACCATTCATTCTCATTAAAAAAAATGTATTGATAAAGTTCTTAAAAAAAATGTTTTGATAAACACCCCGAGTCGCAATTCCACATCTGCCCTCCTTGGTCCTTTGCAAATTACGCTCCAACCTGATATACCCAGCTTCTCCCCATTTCCACCCCCATGTGTTCTTCACAATCCAGTAATCCCTGTGATTTTCAGTACCATATCCAACTGCAAGCACAGCATGATCCACCGCTGCCCCACATTTGCCTGTGAGTATTCCCTGAAGATATCGGAAAGGGGAAGGTAATGTCAAGGGTGTATTGAGTTCGTGTTTCGGTGTAAATTCGAGGAAAAATGTGTTCAACTCATATTCAACCTAATTATAAATAAAAAAAACTTAGAGTCACATTTTTTCTTATTTATTATAACTTTATGGACATCTATCAAGGACCTTCACTGACACACCCAACATAAATAGAAATATCTTTAATGACACTCTATTTATTTTATAATTTTTTTATTTATTAAAATTAAAACCAATTAAAATTTAATTTGAGCTGACTAAAATTCTTTTTTAATAGGCTCAAATTAAATTTTAATCAACTTGACTTGAATTTTAATACATAAAAAATTATATATTTTAATTAACTCAAATTTTAATACATAAAAATTAAATTTTAATCAACGTAAATCAAATTTTAATCGACTTGAATTAAATTTTAATTAATGTTAAAAGTTCAAGTTTAGCTCAAATCGATTCGAATTTTAATAGACTCAAATTTTAATATGTAAAAAAAATAAATTTAATATTAATTTTTGTCAAGTTTGTAAGGTCGTCTCTAAAATTTGAAAGCTAGCTTTTAACTTATGAAAATACCTCTTATTTTGTGTGGTTAGTTAAACAATTGTTTTGAACTTGGAGGTTCGAGTTTTTTAATTCATATTGAGGTTTAGTAGTTGGACGTTATATTATTTTAGTTAAGTTCGTTCTTAAGAGAAGTAACGGCAAAATCTTATAATCAAACCAATGAGAATATATCAAAGTGATCTTTAAATATTTTCTTTTACTCCCCCTCTTTTTTTCAATAGCAAAACATAAAAAAAAAAAACTTAAACTGGTTGATTTGCCACCGGCCACGAGCCTCAATGGCAACTCAGACGGGTTGATTTGCCACCGCCGTTTGTAATGCCTTCTCGCTATATGGAGGAATATATTCATATTCATTGATTGCTACGAGTTCGGAATTTCCCCGCACCTGCACAGCACAAACGACATCAATATTTGTGGATTAAAGATGAATCAATTTACATATAAAATATTGGCAGTAGTAGATGTATAAGAATTATTCTCTTTTGGATTAAAAAATAAAATAAATTAATATGAACCTTGCCATAGTCACAGGTACCCTCCTTGGCCTGATAGGGGTACTAACTTCTCTTTGGTGGTAATTCGTTTTACCAAAACAAAGTGAAGAGAATTGCTCTCGAAACCTCCCTTGCATCCACCATTAAGCGTATCAGAGTCCACCAGCTTTTGAGCTGACAGTAATAGATGCAAATCTAATTTTGATTTTTGCAGCCTGGGCTGCTCATGTCGCCCTCCCAACCATGCTCAGTTGTCAAAAGCGGCACCTAGCTAGCTACCACATCAAACTTTGATTTGGGCAGCGTCCACAACCATTGAATTTTATCTATATATCCAATATTTATGGGTCTTCTGTGCATAAAAAAATTGATACAAGACAAACTAATAATGATTGCATTTCATATCGACCTATTAAGAAAGTTCAATTTTTTTTTTACTTTATTTTATTAACTTGTTTCTTAGATATTTATAAAATAATCATATAATTTATCACATAATAATCATAGTTTTAATCCAATATTTAAAGAAGCTCATAATTTTTTTAAAAAAAAAAATCACAAAATAAGTTTCAAACGTGTTCGTAATATACTCAGTTATTTTGTGTTAGCTTATGCAAAAATATTAGAGTATTTTGAAGAAATATTTAATAAAGTGATAAATTATATGATTTGATGGGCTTAGGCCTCCAGCCCTAATCTCCCCCCACCCCCAGGGTGGCGGCCCGGTGCCTTTTTAAAAAAATTCTTACACTACCTCATAAATTTTACAAACTCTATGTTCATCTTTTGATTTTAAAAAATTTTAAACAGAAAATATACTTATTATGTTTAAGAACACTAATGAATTGATATTTAATAGTCAAATAGAGTATGTAATTTATGGATAAGTGGCGTTCTTATAAATGAGTATATTTGATTGGAGAATTATGATAACTAAAGAAAATTTTAAAAAAATTGTAAATATTTTACAAAATCTATATAATAAAGTAACTTACAATTCAAATCTCAAAAAATAAATAAAATGACTTTTACTATTCGCGGTTGAGTTCGCTTTAAATTTTATTTTAAAATTAATCTAACAGCTAATATTAACACCCTAAATTTAATAGGAAAAATAGGTCTATAAGACTGTGTTTGGAGTGACTTTTTAAAATTATTTTTAGAAATAATTTCTCATAAATATTTTAAAAAATAATAGTATTTGAAATCGTCTTACCATCGCCACCACCCCCTCCCCCATCACCGTCGTCGTCGTCATCACCACCACCACGGTCATTATCACCCACCACAATTATCACTCATTACTGTTCACCTCCTCTCACCCCCCCCACTATAAATTGATGTCTAAATTCATTTATCTCTTCTACATGTTTGTAATTTGATTTTAGATATAAATACAAAAATATTTATTGTTTACCATTTTTTATTACTCTGTGACTTCAAGCACAGGCAATAACTAGTTATATTATAAAGTTAAATTATATAAAAAGTAATATTGTGACTTAGGACACACTTTTATTATTGTATCACGCTAAACTATTACTTGTGCAAATAATTTTTTTAAGTCATGACATCATATCATAATGAGTGAATAAGAGGATCATGACATTATCACAATTCTTCCATGAAGGTAAGATTAATTAATGAAGTGACCTAAATTAATATTTACAATGGTATTGTATGTGAATTAATTTTGCTAATTTTCGCAAAATTATAAATTTATCTAGAAGAATAAAATTCTTAAGTATGCAACAGTTCACCCCTTCCCCCTCGTGATAAAATCTTGGTTTCGTCTCTACACACAAGAGAAGTTCCAAGTGCGCTAGATGCCCTTTTGAATCGGGTGAGATTTTTTTGCTTTATTTATTATTATTTTTTCGATAATTCATCTGCTATGAATTTAATTTGAAATTATTATGTACAAGTGAGTTTTTCTCAATCATTTATGATATATGATAACTCGGTTGTTTGGAAATTTGCATCACAATTTTCTGCCCAAATTAAGGATTGATGATAACATGGGCAATCAATAAGATTCGGCATCTGGATAGGCCAGCATATGTTTGGGCTGACCCACGATGTAATTTCCCTGACCCAAACAATGGCCGACTTCCACCCTATGGGTTTGGCTGGCCCACCATGCAACAACCTTAACACTGAATCTGTCAAATATCCATCTCTTTGGTTTTAATGGCCTTTAAATGAATAGCAACCACTTCATTAAATAAATTAAAATAATAATAAAATTAGTTATTTGGATCAATGAAATGTGGATCCAGAAAGGGTGGGCAAAAAGAAGGCTCATGGGCTGAATTTCCGGGCCAATAGGCCATCCAGAAGCCTTAGTGTTGCTGACGAGCTGGCCCATTTTCCGGAGAGCCAGCAGGCTTTTGTTTCGGCCTGTAGATCATGGGCCGTTTGCTAGAGTCTTATCAATCATCTTGGCCTTGAAAAGTATGTTGAAGAAGACGATAGTAGAAGAGTAGACGAGAGAGAGAGAGAGGGGGGGGGGGGGGGGGGGTGGTTAAACCCATACAAAATTTTCTCCTTAGCCCCTAGAACATATGAGTGAATATCTTATCATGATAAACGTCAAGAGTATACAAAATGAAATTCAAGCTTTTAATTCAGCATTAACACCAGTGTATTTTTCTGGTAGAAATTTATAAAATCAATAGTAAATTTTTCACAAATCTTGAGTTTTGTCAAAAAAAACACGAATATTCCTTGACATTAGAATCAACAGCCTTCATTTCCCCAAATGGTTGACCAGAGCCAATTAGGAAGAGGAGGCCATGGGATAAGGGCAATTTTAACTAAATGACTCTAGAATGATACGTGCATGAATTACTCCCTCCGTTCTTAAATATATATCGTTTAAGGTTTTTACACGGAAATTAAGGAAGTTATTAAATAGCTCTAGTATGAGTAAAAAATAATTACAAAAAAAAAAAAATACTCTTATTCAATACATATTGGAAAGGAAAGGAATATAAAAGACACTTAATCTATTAAACACTTATTGAAAAACAGAGATACGAGTAAATTTGGAAGAAAAAATATTAATTATGTTTTGATTTCATAAAACGACAGATATTGTAGAATAAAAAAAATTAGATAAAATAATAGATATTTAAGGACGAGAGAATAACTTTTAGTAACCAATATTTGTTTCTTAAACATTCATGTCAAATTGAGTGAAGGAAGGGAATATTATTAATAGGTTTTGACTCTTATTTTCACGGCCAATAGGTTTCCAAAGACCAAGTCCCCTACGCCTGAGTTGTTCAATTACCCTTTTCTCTTGTTGACTTTCTTTTTGTAGTAGTATCCTTCTAATTTTATTTTTTATTTTTTATTTTTGGCTATTGTAGTGTCCTTCGAATGCTCTACAATTGTTTTTTCATTTCAAAGAACCTTCTAACTAATATGGTTCTATAATTGCTTTTATTTCAACATAAACTGTGTATTGTATAATTGACTTTAATTTTTTTTTTTTTGCAACAAGGTGTCACTTGAGTTAAGATAGAGCATGTTTTTTAGGGATAATAGTGGTTAACCCTTAAGAGATGTGGAAAAGAAATTAAACTTCTGGATTACTAAAAGTCAAACTCAACTAATAAACCATCCCTAAAATTTATATTTGACTCTTGTTTACTCACAATAATGGCTATTGTTGAGCGACAATGTTCTATAACACTTGTCATTTTTTTTACTAATTTCACACGGAAGGTTCTTAGATTAATAAAGCTCACTAGTCGTCGAATGATCAATTTTTTTTTTTTGAACATGTCCAATGATCAATTGATAAAGAGAAAAGATGCTTAGAACAAAATTATTATTAAGGACAAAACTAATTAAAGTGGCTTAAAATGGGAAATTAAACTAAGCATGTAATGGGGAATTTATTCAAATCTTCTTTGTCTTATGCTCCGTTTGGTACGTTGAAAAAGTGGGAGGATAAAAAGTTAAAGAGATAAATAAAACATTATGTTTGGTAAGGAAGGAAAGTAAGAAGGATGAAAAAGTGGATAGATTAACTTTCCTTCCAACTCACCAAAATCAATCTCTCCAAAATCGGAAGGAAAGTAAATGGAAAGTTAATTATTTGTATTAAGATGTATTTTATTTATCTATATATCTTATGTATACATTAATTTCATATAAAAATATAATGGTAAAATATGTATATATATTTTAAAAATTTTTAAAAATTAATTTAAAAAAAATTTAAAATTTAAAAAATTTAAAATTTAAAAAATTCAAAATTAAAAAATTTAAAATTTAAAAAATTAAAAAAAAAAATTTTTTCCAATGAAAATTTTCTACTCAACACGATGATAGGACTCGAACTCGATACAAAAATAAATAAGTCAACTCGTAACTTGACATGACACAATTAGTTAAATTAGGTTTGACTGATATTTGATATAAACTCGTAATGACTCAACACAAATTTGACACGACACGATTCGACTCTATTGTCATCCTTAATCTTAGCCAACACAAAAAAAAAAAATAGTCATTTTTATTTTTCATTCATCCAACCAAACACAAAAGAAGGAAATATATCCTTTTTACTTTTCTTCCTTGAAGGATAGAGAGTATATCCTTCATATTTTCCATCCTCTTTATCAAAAGGAGCATTAAGTTATTTTTCACATCGTTTGACTAATCTCTAAATTATGGGGGAACAATATCTCTCTCCTTGATTTTCTTGCCTAAAAACCTTCTATTATCTTATATATACAGAGGCACGCCCACAATCACTGTTCATTGTAGCAGTTTTGACTTTTGAGAGTAGTTTTGTTTTTCCAATGTATGCTTTCACAGAAACTGGTAACAATGAAAAGAGGCACAGATCATATCTGCAAACTCCAAATCTTGGCTGCACTCATCCTTATCAATCAGGTTTTGTGAAACCCTCTTACTTCTATGTTTTAAGGTTTTTCTTTTGTTGCTATTGGGATATAAATTATATCTTTGTCCTTATATCAGTTGATGATTTGAAAGTTAAAAGTTTATTCAGTGTATTTCCTTGTTTCTTAGATAGAAATAATTGCTGAAGGTTAGTATGGCTTGTTGATATGATTATATCTTAGTTTCCATGGACTGTTCTACCTACTTAATGACGTAGATTTTGTTTAACATTATTGTTGGTTTACTTGTGAGAC